CTCATGGCTGGCAGGGCCCGCCATGCTAGGCTTCACATGAGCCACAGGGCAGTTTTCCCACTTGTTATTAGTCGGGTTTTCATTGTCCAGTCATTCTTCAAGGACTGGCTGCTTGAAGCTGGTACTGGGTTAGTTTTGTAGAAGCCTCTGTCCTGGTTGAGCATTTAGGGGTCTTTTCTTGACACAGTTCATGGAACCCCTTGGGAGCCCCCGTTCCCCTCCAGTTTCTGGGGGGGGGGGAGACTAAGAAAGGCCACAGAGAACCTTTAGTGTCCTTATTGGTGGCTCTATTGGACCTTGGCCAGACAATTGGAATGGTTCTATACAACTATGATCTGGAGCTAAGGCAGCTCCATGTACCAGCATAGAGACGGCCCCACCACCTGGGGTGCTAAGAATGGAGATTAAATTGCCCTCGTCATTACAAAAGGTAGGGAAATAGTGCTTCTAGACAGGAACCATGGGAACCCCCCATCCCTCTCAGGCCTCCTCCAGAACAGAAGCCCCTTTGATGTCTGCTTCCCCGGGTGCCCCCCGCCCTGACATCTCACAGCCTTGCACCGCACGAGAAGAGCTGCAACTCGGTCAGCTCTCCGGCTCATTCTGTTCTTAGGAGATGTCAAGGGAAGAGCTCTGGAGAGGGGCAGCCAAAGAATGGGGACGAAGACGGAAAGAGATGGCGTCCGTCAGTGCTGGTGAGAGGCAGCAGGCTGGGGCAGGCTCGTGGTGTCATTGGGGATGCTATTCAGGGCATTCACGAGGCAGCACACACGTCTGGAGTCCCATCTGACCGGCATCAATAAACGTCGCTGTTCCATTCATTCTGGAAGGGGAGCCTTAATTAGGCATGAAGAGATTTATCAAACAGCAGCCCCTCAGAGCTGTGGGTCCCTCTGCCATCTGGACGACACTTTCCTACCCTGCAACGACAGCAGCAGCGGGAATGATTGATGAGGGCCTACAGCTCCACCCACTGGGCCTGATAAAACCCAAATGGCTTTGTTCTGCCCGGAAAGGAGTGCGATTTTGCTTGTGTTGATGGATTCATGCTGAGATTTCTCAGACTCTGTTGAATGTCACGTCCTGACCTGTGGGGGCCAGGCTTGTGCTTAGGGTCAGTTTTCAGCTTAGAGTGGCTCAACCACAAGAATGAATAGAAAAGGCCCCGGAACAGGGATGTCTAGACCTGGGGGAAATTCTGCCAGTGAGCTAGGAGGCTTCATGCAGCTGGGGCCTCAATCTTTTGACTTGTACAATGGACAAAAATGATTTTCGCTTTGGCCTAACGCACATCATTATGAATAGAAAAGGCCCCGGAACAGGGATGTCTAGACCTGGGGGAAATTCTGCCAGTGAGCTATGAGGCTTCATGCAGCTGGGGCCTCAGTCTTTTGACTTGTACAATGGACAAAATGATTTTCACTTTGGCCTAACCCACATCATTTGGGAGGTTCTTACGTCTCGATGCATGCAAAATGGCGTCATTAATGATAAAGCCCGCTCTAGGCATTCAGGATTTAATCCAACACACATTTATTGAGCAACTGCTGTGTGCTATGCACCACACCTAGTGTTGCGATGGATACAGATGAACAAAACAGCCCCTGCCCTCGGCGAGCTTACAGTCTAAGACCAGTCATCAGACCAGGGCACAGAGAACTATGAGACGAGGCAGAAGATGGTGCGTGCCGTGAGAAAGGTAAAATAAAGTGCTACGGTGGTCCAGCGGAGGGAGAGAGCCCAGTGGTTGGCAGATCAGGGAGGGCTTCATGAGAGATGTGGTTTCTGCATGGGCCTCGATGGAGGGAACAGAAGAGCATTCCAGAGGATGAGAACAGCAAGACCAAAGGCACAGAGACAGGACACCGTGGGCGCCCCCTTCAGGAACAACAGCTCTTCTGGACTGACTGGCGTCGGGACCTCACTGGGTGGCTTGTACGGTCCGGACACAGACTTGCACATCTGTTTGTGGGCCAGGGGAGCACTTGAAGGTCTGTGAACGGCTGGAGATTAATGTTTGCTGTGAGTGTTCAGGACGGACTGGAGAATGCAGACGCGTGTGCAGAGGAAAGCTGGCAGAGGAAACTGCTAAGTGGTCCAGGTGCCAAGTAAAGAGACAGGGTCAGCGCTTTAGGGAAGGAGTAGCAAGGGAGCGCAGGGGCGAAGAGTGGAAAATGACTTCAGAGTCTCTGCCTGGGTGGCTGTCATGTTAAGCGGGTCTTCTCACAGAAAGAGCAGGGGTTGTAGGGGAGCCGAGACAGGAGATATCCTTGACTTGAGGGGTGCTGAGTGGATGGTGTTGCCACCAGGGCGTACAGTGAGTGTGTGTTCAGCAGTGCACAATCTGAGCCTGGAGACTGGGAGAAAGGCTGGGCTGCAGAGAGGAGTGGGGGGTGCTCAGAGGGAGGTGACAGCTGGATCTGAAGTTACTGATGGAGCCTGCGGGCGGTGAGGACAGGGTGCCCGTGTAAGGAATGTCCGTGTGGTGGGACACGGAGGAGAGAGAGGGAACCCGGCTCAGATCCACCGCAGCTCCTTTCTAGAGCCAAATAGGAGTGTCAATAAATAAATCATTAAATACATAAATAAATAAATATATAAATAGATGGCCAAGAGGGGCTCGGGGAAGGGGTGGGGCAGGAAAACTGTCAGAACATGGCGTCTGGGCACCAAGGGGTCACTGCAGAGTCGAGCGGTGTGGGGAACTTGGTGGCAAGAAAGAACCTTTGGACTTGACGACGTGGAGGGTGCTGTGATGCTGGTCCCGGGGGCCTGGGGATGGGGAGGAGGAAGCAAAGCAATAGATGCCGGAGACCCTTCCCAAGTCTGGTCATGAAGGGGGGCGAGGAAGAGGCTGCAGAGCGAGGACAGGTGGAACGAGCAAGTGTTGATGAAAAGGGGGGACAGAGGAAGGCAGAAAGGGGCATGAGAGAAAAAGTAAGTGACAAGAGGAGGATGTTGCTTCCTCAGAAACGGAATGAGCGTAGCAAAGAGAAAAGGCAAGAGTTTTTAAAGAGATCTCATTTCAGATGACTCCTTCTCTTCCATGGAGGAGGGGCCATTGGGCGAGGGTCTATGGGCTTCAGGGTAGGTGGTGTGGGTGCACTGGGGATCTGACTGAGTCAGCAGGGACTGCTCTCAGCAGTGCTCGGGGCCGAGGCTGGCCGACCCTCTTCTCACGGGAGCCTGTGACCACTGGCAGCCACAGGCTGGCCGGCCTATGCCAGAACCAGCAGTTGAACCTTGCCCAAGTGGAGCTCTTAAGCTGGCAGGGAAGGGGAGTCACCCCCTGCCTGTGTGTGGCAGACGGAGACAACAGGAGTGCGAGAAGGCAGAGTTCACTGAGCTCCTGGCGTCCCAGGACTGAAGCATTACGGCAGCGTAGGGACTGGAGCTGGGAGCGGTGAGGTGCAGGCTGTCCTGGAGTCTTTCCCGAGGCAGTTCGTGAGGATTACTGCTGCTCTGACTCCCATCAGTTTCAGTTTGGGGGACCAAGGCTGAGACAGGACAGAAAGAAAACTGTGTTCTCTAAAGCTCTGGCCCTTGCAGGTCCCTGCAGGGACAGGACGTTGGGTCAGTGGTTAGAGCCCAGGACCAGCTCCAAGATCATCTGTCAGAGCTCCCCTGAGGACTCACCACAGAATATTCTGGAATCGGAGGCCTTGGCGAATCCATTGAGGCCCTGCTGGTAATTCTACCTGCTCCCCAGGGCACTGTAAACTTTCGAAATTAAATGTCTTCTAGGGCCTTTGAGATCCTCGAGATGAAAAGCTCTGGAGATGCATAAAATATGGATGCTAATTATTTCCAATGCTCGTGAGGAGTCAAAGCCACTCAGCTCCTGCAGAGGCTGTTAGGGCTGTTGCTTTTTAAAATATTCATTTTATAATGCAAATCCCAACTCTCAGACTTCAAGCAACAACAAGAACAACAAAGGAAAAAGAATGTGGAGGTGAGGCGTTGTCCTCATGGTTTGGGGCTGGAGCATCCGAGTGTGAGGGTGGCAGTTCCAGCGTTCTTGTGCCGCCTTGTCTCCGCTCGCTTCCTGTCGGCTGTTAATGAAGAGCGAGTGTCCTCTTGGAAATTGCCACCGATTAGCCATGTCCAGTCTCATCTGTCCAGGAGCAGATCCTGATTACTTTTCTTAACTCCTTTCACCTTTGAGACAGTGGTTCCTTAGTTATCTTTCAAACATGTTTTAAAACACTGTTATTTATCAGGCAAAGAAACCCATCTAACAGATCAAAGTGGCTAATGCTTGTCCGTGTGTGGCCTGTGGCTCTGACCTCTAAGTTGCTGGCGTCAAGCCCAGATTTCCCCAGGGGATCTTGTTCAGTATTCAGAAATGCGTTAGGCTTTGGGCTTCTTTAAAAAATGAAAACAAACAAACAAACAAAAAACCCTTAATTATTAACCTTACTAGGGGGACAAAAAAGGGATTTTGCAAAATTTTGAAATCATTGCGTTGGCGGGACGATGAGGGTCAGTAGGCATGGAGTGGACATTGAAACCTCTCCCTGCAGAGTTGAAAACCTCAGTGTTGGAGCTTGGTGCAGGGGAGTGTCACCATCAGGATAGGAAAATGACCAGAAAGTGACGTTGGCACAGCAGTCAGGCTGCAGAGGCCCCAGAGTGCAGAGTGCAGAAAGCAAAGAGAGAGCGCGATTGCAGAGACATGGAGTGAGATGCTTAGTGTTCTTCTAGGTCTCTCTCTCTGGGGCTCTGTGAGACACCCAGAAAGGCAATCATACATATTTTAAGAATGACATTTATCTTGACAGTGCCCTTTCCAGCTTTTGCCATGATTTCCCTAGTGGCAGAAGGGGACAATAGAGTCCATCCTATGACATTGTAACAGGGTGGTAGGAAGACTGACCCACAAGGGTGAAATCCCAGGGTCTCTTTCTCTTCGGCGGACTTGCGTTGTTTAGAGACCACCTAACATGACTACACGCTCTTCTGCCTTATTCTGGGGTGGAGCTGGCCCTTCACAGGGGGTCCTGGTTTTTCAAAAACATGATTAGGAACAACCCACCTTTCCAGTGTCACTTGCCTGCTCCACTCACAGTTCTCGGTGGTTCTTGCTAAGCCAGAGCATGAACTGTCCGTTGAATCTTCTCTGTCCCTCTCTCCATAGCCGTGGAGGCCCACCTGGGGTCATCCCTTGGGCAGGCAAACTCTGACTTTGTGCAATAAGGCCCTCTGCTCAGATGTGGCCTCTGCTACTTGGTTTCTTTGTGCTCCTTTGCCTGGTTGAACTCTCCAACCTCCTTGTCCTCTGCGAACAGCACTGCTTTAGATTGGGTTAAGTTGTCCCCTCTGGGTCTTGGCTCACCCAGAATCCACACATCCCAGAAGCTTGGGGCAACTGTCAACAGGTGGCTCTCCATTCATTGATGAGCCCAAAGATCCCTCCAACCTAGGTGGCATTTTGTCATCCGAAGTCATGGGACCGGCTTCTTTTCGTGTCAAGTCCTTCCGCCCCCAAAGATGGACCGAGTCTCAATCTGTTTCAGGTGGGTTCTCCACACCTTCTTCCTGTGGCTTATCTGCCTAATGCTAGATGAACACCACACAGTTATAAATACTCAGGTCAATATATATATGCAGGTATAGATATATATATTCTGGTCACTGTTTTACACTTTAACAAAGAAAACCACTAGCCTGCTTGTTCTATTGTTTGTGCCACCCCGACTCCCATCTGCCCGTGGCATAGCTGGCAGGAAATGTGAGCCACTGAGTCCCGCAGGGCGCCCGCCTTACGTGGCCCCGTCGCACTGGCCGACAGTCAGTTTCAAGGCTCCCTGCTCGTGCAGGCTCTTGAGGGCCTTGAACTCCAAGGGCATGGTGTGCGGACTGGCCTGGGAGGTGTAGCCATACTTGAGGCTGTCATAATAATGATACTTGACGGGGTTCTGGTTCTGATCCAGCGGGAAGGGCCAGAAGCCGTAGAGGTAGATCTGGTTGCAGAAACGCGTGGCCAGGGTATACATCAAGAGGCCGGTGGTGGGTCTTTTGATGTGAACTTTGTTGGTTAACCAGTATCTGGAAAAAAAAAAAATGAAAACAAAAATAAATGAAAGAAGCAAAAGTGTGTGAATCATCCTGTTTAGAAAGAGGGATTTTTTTTTCTTTTCTTTTTCTTTCTTTCTTTTTTAAATTAGTTTTTGCTATAAGGCATGTGAGCCTGCTGGAGAAGAGGAGGGAGAGAGGGAGAGAAAGGACCACTCCCATGGTCGTTGCTTCTCAATTCTCCTCTCGGATTTTGGGGTGCACACACAGGCCCGGTGTGCTTTTTAAGCTGCTGATCCAGGACTCAAACTGTGATGTTGGTCACGTGAGAGCCAGCTGCCTTAACTGCCATGCCACTGGCTGACCTCAGGAAGAGGAAGATTTTACCCTGCCTAGTAGTCTGCCCCCTCCAGGAACTATAGGGACAAAGTGGCTGATTCCAGTTCCCTTCAGAAAGACGATGGTTATTGGGACCAGCAGATGGCATAATGGTCACATCACTGGACTCCCGCATGGCGATCACAGTTCGAGTCCTGGACCTGGTAGCTTGAAACTCATGCCAGACTCATGTGCTTGCGTGCCTAAAATCCTGAGAGGAGAATGCAGGAGAAGGGATTGTTGCATGGCCATCCCCCTATGGGGTGATTTTTCATTTTCTGTCTCTCTGTTTTTCTCTCTGTCTCTCCAGCAAGTGCACGTGCCCTATAGCAAAATCTCTCTCTCTCTCTCTCTCTTTTTTAAAGGATGGTTACCGATTGAATAACTGAGCTTCTCCTTGGGCAAGATGTTTTGATATTCATAATTTTACGGACCCTCTCATATTGTCAAGTCTGTCTGTGGATACAGATGCAGAAAAGTGAGGGTCATAGTTGAAGAGTGGTCTGCCCAAGGTTATCCAGACAGCAGGGGGCAGGCAGCCCCCTTTCCTGTAATAGGCCAGATAATGCACTTTTTTGGCCTTGCAGTTCCATTGGCTCAGTTGCAGCCACTCAGCTGTCACGTGTTTGTGCACAAAAGACCGCTAGGCAACACACGTGGCTGGACTCTGCCCCCAGCTATGGTCCGCTGGCCTCTGGTGGCCTCTGTGAGAGCTCAGCCATCCTTCCTCCTGCTTGCCGCCATTCCTGACTCTGTCCCTGCCCCAGACGTTCCACGTGTCCTTGTCCTCTGGTGCGGTTGCCCGTCTCTGAGCACATGTGACTTTCATGGAGAGCTGGGCACTGACCTCTAGTCTGCCCTGTGAGGCTGGGCTGTGGCACGCCTTCCCTTCTAACGCTCTGTCCCTGCATTGTGGCGGTCCCACTGTGAGATGGGTCTCTGCTCCCTGCCTCAAGGGGGTGTCAAAAGGCAATGAGCAGGAACAGAGTGGAGAGCAGGGTGCCAGACTCAGGGTGCTTGTGTCGAAGCAGGTCCTGTGTACACTCTGCACAGAGACGATCTCTGTGTCCCTTAGCCTTGAATGCAGGGAGGACGGGACTATCTCCGTGTCACAGACTAGGAAGCAGAGGCTCGGGGATGGAGCTAAGAAAACCAGTTCTGTCACCAGCTCTCTGTGTGCCTTTGAGCAAATTCCTTCTCCCTGGGACCTGATTTTCATATTTATGCCGAGTTGTGGGCGCAGTCCAGGTGCTTTGCAAGATATCTCCCGGTTCTCACATTCTAAGACAATCTGGAAATTTCTCCGAAAGTGGAAAGCAGCTATTCTTTCATCAAAATTCTCCCTGCGGTCTAACGTATGTGTTTTGAGTTAAAACTTCCACTCACCCTAGGCCGAATCCTTTCAAAGCAATGCATATGCCTTGGAAAAAAGACATAACTCTTGGCCATAAATTCCTGGCCATCATGGGTCTAGCCTAGACACCGGCCACAGTTTTCTGTCCTGAAATAACCTTGGGTGGCTCTTGTCCCACATGCTCCCTCTGTCCATATAAAAGAGATCGGGTCCCTTGAAGAGAAGGCCAGTGAGGTCTCCAATGACGCTTCAGCACAGCAGTGCATGCGACTTTATAATCAAATATGCCCATTAATTCGTGCTGAAGTGAAAGTGGGCCAGATACGAGACACTCACATATTGCTAAAAGAGGGACCAGCCCGGACCATTCATAATGCTCACGTGGGCCAGATACGAGACACTCACATATTGCTGAAAGAAGGACCAGCCCCGGACCATTCACAATGCTCATAGCTAACAGGTTGGAGTGGGCGGGATGCAGCGGGTTTGCTAGAAGACTACTCTCTTCTTTCTGCAAAATGGTCTCTTAGGCACTTCAGAAAGAAAGGGGAGCCCAAAACACATTCCTTAAACCCCTTGTGTGTTTGGAGTAACGGTGAGCTTTTGAATCAGGGTTATAGATTCCTAATCATCTGTTTTTCAGTAAATCAGATAGGGTTTGAGACAATGGATTCTGAGGCTCTGCCTGCCAACCTGACTAGTAGTTTCGAGTGCTCAGGTCTCCCCTTCAACCTCGCACTCGGAGGCTCTGGTCCCGATGGCTAGAATGGAAGTGAATGTGGCCCTCGTGGGCACAGCCTGCCCCTGCCGCTAGCCCTGAACAGCCACGGTTGTTCCCTAAGCTAGTCACTTGAAGGCTCCTTCTCACGCTTTGACCTATTTCATCCTCTCTGGGCCAAGACACTTGCTAGTGGCTGAATTTTTTTTTTTAAAGAATTATTTCCTTTATTCATCATTATTGTTATTTTCAATTTGACCATAGCAAGACACACAGAGAGAGAGGGAGAGAGGAGAGGCAGGAGTGAAGAGGAGGGGAAGAGAGACAGACAGC